CATTTCCAGGAAGAAAATTGCCTTTATAATTTTATCTATGAAAGATAAAAAATAATTAAAAATATTGTAAAAGTATTTTACAAGTACAATAAATACAAGACTTTTTAAAAACTTTGTCAATATAGTCTGAATGGAATTTTGAAAAAGAACCTAGATAGTGGTTAAAAGTTTTTTTTTTTTTTTTTTTTTTTTTGCATATTTTGTTGCAAGTAGATGTATTTTAAAGGTTTTGTTACCCAATCATGTTTAAATAATCACAAAGATATTTTTCTACACGACCCCTATCTATATATATATATATATATATATATATAAATATATAAATAAGTGAATTATCTATTTTTATAAAATATTTATGGAATCTAATAAATTTTCTATTTTTTAATTTATCTTATGCATACTGATTATAATAGTCTTACTAATTTAGTATAGGTAGTAAAATTTTATTAAATTAGGAAAATTATCACATAAAGAAAGTGTCTTTGATGTATTTAGTTTAAGACTATTTAATAACTGATAAATAATAGATGTAAACAACTAGCTAGCTAGTTAGTTTTTTTTTGTTTTTGTTTTGTTTTGTTTTGTTTTGTTTTTTTTTTTAGTTTTCTTATAAATAAAAATTTACATACATTTTATTTAATATTAATATAAATTAAATTAAATATTAAATAGACACATGCTTTTACTAAATCAACCCATCCTTGATAAAGAATATGGTAGTCATAATAAATATGGTTGGTTTTCATTGGTTGCTGATCTAATACTGGAGAGATAAATCTAGAGGCCAGATTTTTTTTCATGATGGGTGGGTCAATCCAGTAAAAACTTAGGTCTATTTAACATTCCTCTAAATTAACTAGTCTTATATGTTTTAGAAACCTATATATATTTAAAAAAATTATTCATATAATTTTACAATTTTAATTCGTAATTGTGTTATAATTTTATTTAACTTTACTATGTAATCAATTACTTAATATTATAAAAATACAATGATTAATAAGAATTATACATGTTTGGTTGTTTTTTGATTTTTTTTTTATTTTAAGGAAATTAAAATTAAAATTTAGAATATTGCAATATTTTTTTGGTGAATATCTAGATTAGATTAATTGGATTAAAGAAATAATATTTTAAGAAAATATTTTAGTATAATTTTAAAATTAGTTTTAGTGGCTTTACAATATAGAGAAGGCAAAATGTTATCATGCATTAAATACATATAATTTGAAGTAATTGAATTACAAAAATAGATAAAAAAATCATTCAACTTACAATTTAATAACTTAAATTTTTTCTCAGAATAGTGACATATTTTGTACATATCGAATTTAGAAAATGAGCTTTTATAAGGTAAATTGAAACGTTATTAGAAAAAATATCTTTTCATATTCTATTATTACATTTTTCTTTTTATGTTAACATTTTTTAACTAGCATCATTTTCATATTATTTTATACTTTATTTGTATTCAAAATACATTCTAAAACTTAATCAATTATATAATCACCAGCACTACTATAATCTTTCTGATTTCTATTCCTTCACTCATTGTCCAAAAATTACAATATCTAATTTTGAGAAAAAATTGTACTTTGTCAATCTCATGAAAAATAAGATGTTATTAATAGAGATAAGCAATTTTTTGTAACATGCAATAGAAATAGAAATGTTTCATCAACACTTACTTTCTATTTACACTATCATTGAGCACATAAAGCACTTCACCATTTCATTTGCCCAACTCAATTGAGCCTGAGCTTCTGGAAAACTGTTTTGCAAACCTTGGTCAATAAGTGCCACTCATGTGAACAATCCTCAAAACTCAAAATCCTAAAGCTGAAGCCTTGATCCTGGTTCAAGATGATGTGCAACACACATGTTCAAATTCCACATAGAACTTCAACTACTTAAATCAATCTATCTTTGCTTTGCTGATTTGTCAATACCCATGTAACAAAAACTAAGCTACATGTCAGAAGGAAACTTGAACTACAGCCACAAAACTTTGGTATGCACATGATCTTACTGTTGTGAGCTCCTTTTGTTAGTCTTCCTTCAGCATACACAGAAGCTGAAGAATGACAGAAGTCCAGGTCTACAGCTTCATTGGAACATAATAGGTCCATGCATTCTCCCTTTTGTTGGACCTTCCAAGTGTTGTAAACTTCAAAATCACTGCAGGTACCACTGATGGATCAGCAATGTAAACATGCATGAAATGAAATATTGTTACATAGAGCTAACAGCATAGAGCAAAGTTGACTTCCAAGATTTCAAATAAGAGAGTGGAGATTACCAGCTATTAAATCTTCCACAGGAATTGTGAATCGTGAATAAAGATAAGAGTACAAAAGGAGAAAGAGTTTGCAAGATGTTGCTGCAACACCAGAAGTATCAGTTAGCTAGAATAATCAAATAAAGGCACCACTACTACCATCACAACCGCCTCAGCGTAAAATGAAATGTTCAATGATTTCACAGCTTGTGCCAGAATGAGGTGCAGGCTTTATGTTATGAAAAAATAGAAGCAAATTACACAAAAAATAAAAAAATAAAGAAAGTCAATGCAAACCTTTAAGTTCAACTTTTCATTATCAAAAAAGTTCCAATTCTTTCCATCAAAAGATCAATCAAGCACTGATACTGTTACTATGAATGTAAAAATAAAACTTATATATATATATATATATATATATATATATGTAAATAAGCATATGTAGCATCAATAGGAGTTACTCAGTACATTAAAAAATTGAGTTTTAAGTCAGAAGATTCTAATTTTCAAAATAGTTAAAAGAATATACAAGCTTACATCAGCATGCCCAATGTCCACCATTTGAGAATCACTTTGTGATATATATATATATATATATATATATATATATATATACATAGATAGGTTAATAAAGAGATGACTGAGCTTCAAAAACAATTCTGCAAGTGCTAAATTGGTAAATCACAGCCATAAGATGGCAAACCACACATGAGCAAAGTACAAATTACAAGTAGGTTAATGAGAGTGTGTGAAGCATTACATGATGTTACAACTCAAAAGTAACACTGTGGTCTCCTTGTCCAATATACAAATCAGTCAGTACACTAAGAACATAGATAATGAAGAATTCATAGCTTACCATAAGCAAAGCAATAACCTTTGTAAAATAACTCAAAGACCCACATCAGTCATGCATTACGAAGTAAGATTCAAAAGTACTGCCAACCAAGACTAAGGGGGATACATCCTCTAACTTCCTAATAGCTTCTAGCATATATATCTAAGAAAGAGCAATGCCAACAGAACCCTCAGCCAACTATCTTCCTTGCAACTTCATGTACCTTCAACAGTTACAAGAGTTTTCACAAAGCCAGGAGCAGAGTGTCCAAGGTAATCCAGAGCATCACAGTAACAATCAGTCATAGTCTTATTTACATAAGTAAGGTTTTGATCATTTATCTACTCTCAGTCCTATGATATTAACCGTGAGGAAACATAAGACCTGAAATTAGAACTGAAGACAAACTAGAGGACACCACAAGTCAGAACTTGATCAAACTAACAGAATTTCAAGAGCAGTCATGCTTAAGCTTCCACTTCTTAAGTGTTCCTTGAATGTGCAGAAACCAATTGAACAAATCCGAACAAAGTTTGTTCTTACATTTCAAGCATCAATCAAATTAGATTCATGCTTCAATTCAACGAAAACCTGAAGTAGCCATGAACCGGTCAATAGAGACAGCAGCAGCGCAAGTGCTCAGTTTCAATCTTACTCACAGGATATTTAAAGTAATTGGATCCAGCTGAAACACCATATACTCCATCTGCAAACGAGGTCATATGATACGATCTCAAGGACTTCAATACATGACAGTTTGAGAGAATTTGCTACAGTAGGGACGTTACTGTCAGACGGAGCCATTGTATATGTAGAAGACACCTTACAACGTAACATAGTATATAGGAATGTTCTAGTAAGGCCGATAGCCTGGATTTCCGTTATTATTATTATTATTATTATTGTTGTTGTTGTGATTCCATCTGGTGGGACCAGCAACCCCAGCAGGAGGTTGATGTTGGTGTAAGTGTTGCTGGTGTTGATGCTGCTGGTTTTGAGTTTGATTGTCCGTTTCTCCCCTCTTCAACTCCACTTTGATGCGTTTTCCAGAGACAACCATACCATTCACTTGATTGATTGCTGCTTCAGCAGATTGTGAGGAATCCATAGAAACAAAACCTGTTTTGGGAGAATAGCATAAGGGACTCAAGTGATCGAATTTTTTATGAGCTACAGAGAGCAGAGAGGAGGAGCAGGATAGGACAGAAAGGAAAGGTGATGACCCTCATGTCTATCAAATTTGAAGGGAAAATAGGATGAGACACCCTCGATAACCTATAGCAACAAACGAGGGTTTTTTTTACAACAGAACCTATAATCAAAGTTTGGGTTGGTGCTCTAAGCCCAGACCTAGACAAAAAGAAAGCGTGGGCACGTTTGCTAGGTGGCTTCATTAAATTGCAGTACAAGAGTTCGTTGACTTCTCAAAGTATAATTAGGCAAGTACTCATTTAAAAAAATTCCCGCATCAACATTTATAAAGAGAAGAATGTTGAAAAACAATTACATCTGTTCTCTCAAAACCAGAGGAAAAGTTCAAGATGAAACTAACGACAGAATGAGTTGTTCAATGTCAAAACCATGCATCAACCAGGATTTGTTTATGTACGAATTAAAGATTTTAAATAGAAAATTTGAGCATAGGCGTAAGCATATTAGAGATTGATGAATTGGGTGTCTGTAAGGATGCAAGCCTGATGTTAATTTGAAGAACAAATATTTGCAGTGTGAACTTTCATGAAGATAGATAGAAATTAACCAACGAAGTTGCCCACAAAGCAATTGTATAAACGAAATCAAGTATAGTTACTGCTACTAGAGGAGTTGTGGGCAGAAGGATCCCAATTCGAAGCTTGCCTTAAACACCACCGAATTCACAGGATAGATGACGAAAAGAAAACTTTACTAAAAGTTTCCTGAGTTTACAGTGCGGCAAATGCCAAATTACGAATCTTAAGACTTCTCAGTACGACTCTTAAATCTGAACAGTGAAGTTGAAGAAGGGCTTGCTCAGCAGGAATGGTCCGAGACCATGACAAATTCAAGCAAGGAAATGGAAGGTTTCTAACGCAGGTGAGAATATTGTAGCCACTTCAATAGACGGGCTCTACAAAGATGAAAATGAAGAAGGAACTCTAAAGCAAATTTGGTTATCAACACAAAAATGAACACGTCAAATCAAATGAATACAAGCAGAGTGTGGAAGTAAATTGAAACCCCTACTGTAATGTTTCAAAGGAAGGCATGAGGCCAGACTAAAAACTGAAGCTAAATTTGCTGACAATCGGTTGGAGAAAACGACCGCTGTACTGATACATCTACGAGAGAAGGCCCGGCCCGTCCGAATTCGTCACGGTAAAGTGGGGGCTTTCCGTCACGATCAAGAAAAGCATGATAGGAGAGAGTAAGGCTTGATAATAGCTATGTCTGTGCCAACCAGGATAGACTTGTTAACACTTAAAAAGTAGAACATGTTCTAAAACCTCTAAATTTTCCTAGAGAATACGGTGATGATTCTACGGTAATGCAGGACCGAAGATCCCCTCAAGATAATCTGAAGCTCAGAACCATACAACAGGCCAAATCAACCTGTGGTTTGTGCCACGATCTCTAATAGGAAAGAGCTGGCAGCTACTACATACTGTTCAATTCAAAATTGACATTATGAAAGCCACCAACTTGGCTTTAGAACTTTTACCCAATGCCAGTAAGGATATCGGAAGGACTCCTGCAGTCGCATTCATACTACCATAAATCTTGAGTTTTTTTGAACTCAAGATAGAGACATCCATTCTACAATTTTGAGATTTATCCTGCTTAGAGTCAGTACTCTTGACAAACCTTCGAGAATAAGAAAATGCGGCTGTCTCGAAAAGTGAAAAGCATACTTCAAACTTGAACTTTCTGTAGGCAGACCCATAGTAGGAGTTACCTCAGGAAAAATAGGCACCTACGCAGGTTGAAAATTAACCATTTCTTCGATAAATTATTTTGCATTAGTGGTTTGTGTATCCGAACTAGTGCGATAAAAATTAAAAAAAAGTTGCTGCCATATAAGTAAGGAGGAAGCAAGCTACTAGTTCAAAGAACCTTATCAAAACTACATTGCCCAGTTACCAACATTCTGCGTTGCAAACCACAATCTCCTAACTTCTGATTCCTCAATGTTTTGGTATGACTTAAGTGCATACCTCAGCACGAAGGATAATGACCTAAAACTATTGCAAACAGCTGACGACAAGCAACCTCCAGCACAGGATTTGATGATATGCAATCGGAACACAGGGGCAGTAAATGGGTTAAAAAAGATAAGGAAAATACCATATGTTCGATTACGCCCTGTTTCCTTCTCCACCCCAACTTTTGAGTACATAACTGTACCATACGGGGTGAACAAGTCTGCCAACTTTTTGTCACCCATATCTTCAGGGATACCGAATACAAAAAGCTTCGCACCTGGAACAAGAAATAGAAGCGAGCCAGCATCAATGATATACCACTTTTCTCAGCCCAAGAGATCAGAAATAACCACTTTTTCAGTGAAACACAAAATGCAACTGTCCTCAACGCTATTCAGTTTGTCTAATCAACATTTTTATCTTCGCGCTAAGTCCATAAAAATAATCACCTGCCCCTTGAGCTTGTGATTGGGCCTGATTTGATGGAGAAGGAACCGTCTGGACAGCTGCTCTGTTAGAACCTTGACTAGGCTGTGTTGAAGTTTGAGTATTTTGCGTCTCCTGTTGTTGTTGTTGTTGTTGTTGTTGTTGTTGCTGCTGTTGTTGCTGTTGTTGATGCTGTTGTTGCTGTTGCTGTTGGGCAGTTGAAGGAGGATAACTACTTGGCCGAGGCCCGGCCTGGTTGGGCTGATTTTGGGGCGATTGCAGAACAGGTTGCTGTGCCACAGCAACTGGGACGAGGTGCTGAATACCGTTAGCTGTGTGCGTGGGCCCTTGAACTGGAAGCACTCCACCACCTGGATAGCTTAGATGACCATGGACAAGGTGCGGCATAGGAGTAGGTGTTGCTGTCTGCGGAGCCTGTCCAGGAGCAGATATAAGAGGGTTTGCATTGCCAGCAACTGGTGTCTGTATCTGAACTCCTGCTGGTGCCATAGCTTGATGAACCAGTCCTGCTTGGGTTTGAGCCACTCCAGGATGTTGAAGATAGGAATTAGGTTGTTGCGTTTGCATTTGTGCATTCGGATATGCATATGTACCTAAACATATAGCAAGCGTTGTGAAAAAACAGCAGCTACACTTTGAATTCAAGAACCGTCTAACAAGCTCACACAACTCACCACCAGGCATTCACATAGGGTCAATTGCTGCTGAGAGTACAAACCTGGTTGCTGTACTTGGACCCCAGCATAACCTGCAGGGTGCTGCCCAACCGCTAGCCCTTGTGGTATTTGAGCTCCATTTGTACCTAGTTGAGTTATGGTTTGGTGCTGTGAAATCAGACTTCCTCCAGTTGGCTGCTGCTGCAGTACCTGAGGTGTGATAGAACTTCGCTGAACTTGTCCATTCATAAGAGAACTGAAGGCGTGACTTGCAAGTATATGGTTGGCGGCCGTCTGCAGTGCTTGCGCATTCGTGACCTATAATTAAATAAGATCCAGCCCAGTACAGAGGAGCAAGATATATCGTCAGATGTAACAAGGATACACATTTCATATTAGCTTCAATTACCCTGAACTTCAGGATGAAAAATAACAATGATAATAATAATAATAATAATAATGTTTCTAGGATTAGATGAGCATTGTCTACATTCGTACAGAAGTACACACTCTTCAGAACAACTGATACTTAGAAAGAGAAATTGTAATGTATCTGAGCCGAACCTGAGAATGGTTTTGGATTTCCAAGGCAGCTGGTTTTTCCCACTGCGTAGCTCCTGTAAGAAGATTGTGATAGAAGGGTTTGCCGTTTGGTGCTTCATGCGTGGCCCACTCCTCCGCTGTATGTCTTACCCCACCAGCTGTTCTGTAAGGATCCTGAGCTCCCGTAGAACCAAGATAAACATTGTTTACAGCTTGCGCTGCTGTTATCTTTACAGCTTCTGCTATAGATTTTCCGAAATCACTCTCCAGCGTGATGGAAGAAGGTTGAAGACCATTGGCTGCTGGGCCACCTTCCTGCACGACACTGACTGTAAGCAAGACTTCCATATAGCTGGTCTAGAGAGGTTGGAAAGACGAATATCAGAAAAATCTGGAATGATTCAGCGACTTCCTTACAACACACATGTGCGTGTACCTGAATCGGTGTTGTGCTGCAGAAGATGGTTGTCCGCATATGACGAAAGTATGACTAAACATATATTACAATGTCCCACTTTATATGTAGAAGGGACCAGAACTACGAATTATACGAAGAATATATGAGCAGCAAACCCACATGTAAGGCACTCCTTGAATTTTTCACCAAGTTTTGCTTCTGCATGAGCACCAAAGCTTCATCCTTAGCTTTACATATCAATATGTAAAGACGAGCAGAGTAGTTCAATAAACCTTCAAGCTTTTGAAAGCCTGGTCACTGAGGGACGCATCAGTGGTAGGAAAAAAGTTATATAATTTCCAAATAGAAACACTTCTCTGCCTAGTGAACCCTTACTATGATGTATCTTTACGTTTATGGACTGCAAATTCAAACATCAGATCGTTTGCTTCGCTGAAAACTCACTAGCAGCTTATTTGCATGCCAGGGAATTATCATGTTAATGATTTTTAGAATACTGCACCTAATGAGATGAACTTATGTTTGCAACCCAAATGATCATCCACATCATTCTGAACATCCATCAAAGTAAAGACGATTGAAGCACCTGAGAATGTATGCCGTAACCATCTGCATAATGTGACACTATACCATACGCAGCATCCGTGCCGTTGTAACTTCCATTGTACACAATATTACCTGTTATTTACAAAAGCAGCACCTCCAAATGAACTCCTTAGAAAAGACGCGTCTACAGTATGAAGATCAAGGTGACTCCAGCATTTCAAAACCTATCCAAAAAATGCCCTTAATGAACCAAGAAAATCAAGATGCATTGAATCAACGAAAAGCATTTGAACCCATCATTACTTGTTGAAAAGGCCGTAGATCAGATTTGATAAGGAAGAAATGAAACTCTTTTAAACTATTGTGCTAAAACCAACTTCGACTTTCTCAGAAATCATAAAGATGGAAGTGAGCAGAGAGAGGCTTGAGGTCGCAACATCTCATTCAAAGACGCCCTTCAGATCAGTGCATCACAATTATGTTTACCTGAATTTGCACGGGCTCTCTTCTCAGCATTGACAGCCTCTGTCCGCAGCTTCTCCAAATCCCTGGCCATAGCAGACAGATTCTGTTCCATGGCTTGCCTGTGCTCCATCTGCTCAGCATTCACTTTCTTCTCTAATTCAAACGCAGTTCTGAAGCAACACAGAAAAATATGATTAAAAGATATCAATGTAATAACGAAAAGTAATGCAGGCTTCACATTAAGTTGCGCTCTGGAATTGAACAACGGAACTGCATGAGTCACACTTCTAAATGTAAAGTAGTATGTACACATCATCGAACCTCACAAATGTCAAATAAATCCACAATCACTTTGATGAAAATTGGACCAAATACCCCAGTATCTCGTATCCACAAATACAAATAGCAATAACATAGAAAATCCAAATGACCGGGTAAACACCTGGCCCGCTGTAACTCTGCTCGAATGTTGTCCATCTCTCCACGCAAAATGGGAATCTGTTGTACATCTGTACGGGCTCGCTGCAGTTCCTGTGTTGTTGTCCGCACCTGCTGTGTCAGATCTTGTGAGTGTAGATGCAGCTTTTGACAATCTGCTCGGGCTTGAACAAGGTCTTGCCTCACATTCTCAGTAGATCGCAGTTCCGATTCTAGTTTTGCCGACTTCTCAATAAGGGACCTTATCTGGGCTTCCTTCTCTGATTGTACACCTAACACAAACATTTCTAAGTTATTGAAGAATTTCAATATACTCAAGAAAAGAGATAAGTGCCTAATCAGAAGGACGCAACTAATCAGAAAAACATGGAGGGTAATTGATGAGTTATAACTTAGAATAAGGTATATATCCTGGCCAATCTTATGCACCTGTAAGCATCGCAGTTAAACGTGCCATTTCCTGTTGTGCAGAGGCTAGTTCCTGCCGAAGAGCAACATGAGTCGCTGCAAGACGTTGATTCTCTGAAAGGAGACTCTGTATCTCCATGTGCTGAGATTGTATTTTTTGCTCCAGTATTGCTGGCATTGGTCCTCCGCCCATACCTGCTGACCCTCCCATCGATGATCTAACCTGGCCATATGGACTATGACGACCATTCTGAGCCCCAGCGCGCGAGTTGAGTGCCAGCATGCGGTTTCTGGTCCCCATATTGGTCTTCTCTGGGAAGGCGAACTGCAGCGACAGAAGCATTACGACTAGTCAACTCCACAAGCTGGTTCCATAAAAATAAAACATACGATCCGTGACAAAGAAACAAGATCCAACAACAACAGTCCCTTGTGTACAGCTTCCGCAGAAACTAAAGAAGTCCCCGAAATTGATCAACTTCGTCCCTACAACCTCCACTCGCCGAAATTGGATATTTTGATTACTTTGTCTCAAGGTCAAACAAGAACAATGATCGAAAAGAATGCCTCACATGACCAAGAATATGCGAAATAAAATCATGCAACTCCTCCTGAAACACATCAACCCGATTCAAAAACAAAATTCCTGAGGACGATTAAAACACAATTGCCCTATCTGGGTGCCATTGAACAGCAATGCTCTTGATGTTGCGTTACACATGTCACGTACCTAAGTAAGAGGACGCCAGAAAATGCAGGCAACTGAGGCCTGGTGAAATCCTCCCAAGAAACAGCAAGTCACGTCCCAAAAGAGGAGTGAAAGTCGACAACAGGTCGGGCATCGAGAAGCAGCAATCACAGACAAAGAACAGCCAAACCCTAACCAGAAATCAACCCACACTAAACAGGAACACGAAGGCGTGCATACAAAAGGAGTGAGGGAGAGAAAGATGAAGACAAGAACAGCGTGGTGTAACTGTTAAACCGGCTCCGTCTGTCTCCGACATCCGGTTATAGTGACATCAGCGCTGATCTAACTAGTTGCTCCATCACCAATTCCATATCAACTCATGTTACTCTAACCGGATACAATCTTTACATTCCGTAATTCCTTCCCAATCGTAACCTGAAACAGAATCTCTTCAATCCAACCATGACAGTGGAGATTCTTGCAGTGAGACCCAATACACACACAACCAAATGCAATGCTTTTGACTGGCTGACCTACTTCGTCACCCAATACCACGGGTGGCTTCTTACAGTTGGCAAACTATGCATGTCCAAAGAATCATAACAGACAAAAAAAGACAACTGCACCAGATTCTTATACACGGCATCATACATCCCGTATTCGAGTTTCGAACCCGAGGAGAGCTTTCGTTTTATACTTCGTCGATTCCGGGATGTGAACTCAGGGGGTGAAGTCCAGGGCCCACCGGAATCTTCGTTTGCCTGTTGAGGATGGAGGTTGGTCGGATCATTGTATGTTGAAGGTGAAGGCCCTTCATGCAGCGTTGCTTAAAATGTGGGGATAAAAAAAAAAAAAAAAAAAAACCCTGTCCATAATTCCTTGGTAGTTTCCCATGCAGCGAGGAAAAGCTACTGAGTAAGTAATTATTAAACTTAAAACACGCGGAGATTGCTGCCCGCGAGTTTCTCAGCTAGCCTCCAAAAATCATTACGAAATCTCAAGGGGCTGTTACTATCCTCGTTTGATCCCCGCTTGGGCTAAGTGGTCCTGAAGGTTGATCTGGGTGTAGAGGATTACGGGATTCGTTGCCACTGGTTTACGATTAAGAGACTGGGACGGCGTAGAAAAGGAGCTGTGGTTAGGATTGTGTCAGGGTTTGTTTTGCGCATGATGGGTGGAGGTGTCTGTAAGGGGTTGAGATGGAGAGTGCTGCGGACGAGCTAGGGCTGTAATAGTAATAGGATGAAACCTTTTCGATGTCTTTCCAGAAACATGTGATGTGTTCATCTCTATGTTTATTTGTGTGATACAGTGGAGAAGGATTGCTCCCAGCGAGTACCAGCATTGTTATTCCAATCTCTCTGTTATCTGGCACCTGAGCGGAATTCGAGCTCAGACTGCGCCCAATTGAGTGGGTATGCGAGATCCGATGATTCTGTAAATAGGTTTGTTTGTGGTTATGGAGGATCGCAGCTGAGATTGGCAGAAAGCAGTTGAGGTATCTAGACTAATTGCGCAATTGGATACTTGCCCCAGTTCTCTATTTCACAGTACCCGTTTTCCGAGCCATGGTTACAAGTACATTTCTTCTTCGATTTGTGACTCTTGCCTTGGTTCTCACGACGATTTGCGCTGATGAGGGGAGGAGTGGTTTAAAAGAAGAGAAGGGCATGTGTGATATGGTCCTGAATGGAACCGGTTACCCTTGCACAGAGTACACTGTAGAGACCGCGGATGGATTCCTTTTAGGGTTGCAGAGAATATCGCATGGAATTGAAAAGTCACATGGAGCGAATAAGTACCCCGTGCTACTTCAGCATGGATTATTTCAAGGAGGTGACGGTTGGGTCCTGAATTTCCCTGGTCAGTCTCTGGGTTTCATTCTCGCGGACGAAGGTTTCGACGTGTGGATTGCAAATGGACGTTGCACAAGATGGAGTCATGGACACAAGTCGTATTCTAGGCACGACAGGGGTTACTGGGACTGGACTTGGGATGAGCTTGCTCAGTATGATCTTCCCGCCATGCTTGAATTTATAGTGACAACGACCGGGTCGAGGGTGTTCTACGTTGGACACTCTCAGGTAAGAATCCATCGCTGTCCCTGAATTTCAGCCAACATGCACGATTAGTTGCAAGTTTTGCTAATTGCACTAATTGTACTGGCATTACGTGCAGGGGACAATCCTGGGATTAGCGTCATTTACTCAACCAGCTGTAACGGATATGTTGGCAGCAGCAGCGTTACTAAGCCCCATCTCGTACCTCGACCACATCTCATCGAATTTCATCAACAGTGCTGCACATCACTACATCGACAGGATGGTGAAGACCATGGGCTTGCGGGAGTTCAATCTCAGGAGCGAGGTAGGGGTGAGACTCATGGACTGGGTATGTCAACGAGAGGACGTCGACTGTGGTGACCTCTTGGCAGCCATCACGGGCCCCAACTGCTGCTTCAACGTCACCCGCATCCCCTACTACCTGCAATTCGAACCACACTCCACGTCTTTGAAGAACCTGGCTCACCTAGCGCAGATGATAAGGAGAGGGACATTCTGTAAGTACGACTACGGCTTTGTCGGCAATCTACAGCATTACCTGAGCCTAACTCCACCAAATTATGATCTCACCACCATCCCGGGATCTTTGCCTCTGTGGATGGCATCTGGAGGTAACGACGCTTTGGCTGATCCTGTCGATGTTGTACACACCATTGAGCAGCTCCAGAGAAAACCAGAAATTGTGGTTCTGCCTGATTACGGTCACATTGATTTCATTCTCAGTATTCAAGCAAAGGTGGATTTATATGACGGTATAGTTGCCTTCTTCAGAGCTCATGCAGATCGTTGTAAAGCAGGCATTTCCCAAGTCATTTAAGTTCCTGAACTGGCTTCTATCTACTATTTATTTATGTACATAACTTAAGATTTCAGTATCTGTATAGACCTTACATGAAGAGGCCATTTGCTTGCAGTACTAAACCACCTATTTCAGTATGTTGCCGTGTACAAACGGTCTCTAGTTAGATGTTTGATTATTATTATTATTATTTTTTGAGGCATGAATACCCACTTTGGTTAATTTTAGGCATTTTTCTGACATTTCAGATTGTATATAAAATCTGGATGAAGTTGGTAGACTGCGTTTAGTTGAACTTCTTGCTGATTTTTTTATGACAGTGTCCTTTAACGGCTTGGATCTGTTCACATTGGGGAATGATGGCATTTTATTTGCAAATTTGTTGATGATTGTTTTCAGACTGTTTTAGGTATGTTAACTGGAGGTTTTACCAATGAAATAAGATTTCTTTTGTTATCATTATTTCTATTCATGTTAATGCGTTGTCACTGTAGTAATTTTGCATATTTATTTTTGTAACAACACTCATCTTTTGAGTTCTATTTTATTCTATTTTATTTTAATTTTTATCTTCTGGTCTTCTTTTATACAAAACAGAGCTATGATTTTAATTGTTTGTATTAATGGAGATGATAGAATAGGTGATTATTTTATTCAAATTTTTATATTAAATTTTGGGATCATAAGATTAAATCTTGGATTTGTGCTTTTTGAATACATGAATTTAAAAGGGATAATGTTTCCTTGTTACTTAAAATCATCTGATGCAAGAAAAAAAAAAAAAAAATTATTATTAAAGGTTATTAATCATAAGAAGTGCTCATTACATACAACCACATAGCCTTGCCAAATGACATAAAGCATTGTAGCCATAGCAATCATGTGGCCTACCTTTATTACCTTTTCTAATTAATAATATTGAATTGAATTCAATCAAGTACTAGAAATTAGAGTTTATTAATTGTACATTACAAATTTTGAATTGATTTCTAAAATTTTGATTAATTATTGGAGATTATTAAATTTTGGAGGATTAATTAATAAAGAAAATACTATATATAGTATTAATACATTTCTACCAAATAAAAATAAAGGCTGACTATGTGCACACCTCCCTTCTACAGGATGTATATCCCCCTATAATCAAATGACATTTTTTGATCATCATTGACTTCAAGTTCGACTTAATAAAGGGGCCAATGGCTTGAGTTTGAAAGCCAATGGCTCTCTTCATGTGCTATTATTGGGATGGCTTCCACATACTCCTTTGGGCCATCCTCTTGTACACATGATTATCAGATCTTGGATTGGTGTTACTTATTCTTATAATAATATAACAAGTTGTTCTTGTAACATTTGTTGCTGATGGAATGGAAGATGCTCATGATCTTCAACTTGTTTAATTTGTTGAAGTCATGCCGATGACATGTAATAATAGTATTTGAACCAATTTGTTTTATAAGTTGAGTCTATGAAGATCACATGTGAAAATTCTTGTACTAATGCTATTGTTGTGGGTGCCACAAAGAAAAGATACCTAAGTTGTCCTTTGATATTATATTGGAAGGCATGCCCTATATTCTAGGTGTACAAGTCATCTAACAACATCTCCAGTGATGTTTGTCCATTGAACTCCGTGTTTCAAAGATGAATTTTCTTGTTGTAGATGTCTTTTAAAACAAGCCAAGAATTGATATTCCATTGTTTCAAGGTTGTGAGAATGAATTTAGGTGCCGCACTTACATCTAACATTTGTTTGATGGTTTCACAATCATTGTGAAATAATTTGCACTTAATTTAAAATGTAGACAAGTCTCCTATATTTGCATGGTTGTGCTTTGCATTTTTGACTTGAATTCTCTACTCCATTATGCATATATCATTAGAAATTTGTATTTCATCATTGCATTTTCCGTCGAGATCAATGCATTAGTTGAGAAATGCTAGTACTTCATCATTTTCATCAACCTTGATCAAGAAGTGCCATTGAATGATAACAAACCACAAACTAATACACCTTGCACTTGTCTTCTTTTTACGCATTTTATCAATGAAGAATGCTCTACTGTTCCAATAATCACCACCATGACCACAAGTAAGCTAAAATTTTTTGTGGTCGCTAGTCTTGCTCTTCTTTAGGCACAATCTTGACATTGTATATCCCTCCAAAAGAGCAAATGTTTACACCTCAACCTCCACTTCTCCAAGCAATACATACGCGTAATTTTTTGGTAAGGACAATGGCATGTCACAAGAAGAAAGAATGGCACGAGAAAAAGGATTAAAGAAGGGATGTGCCCTACCAAAAGAGTTAAAAGGGGGGTATGTACATAATTGGCTCCTTTATTAAGTCGTACTTGCAGTCAATGATCTTTAAAAAATGCCATCTAATTAAAGAGGAGGTATATGCATAGTTGATCCCTAAAAATATTGACATATAAAAAATTTAATTAACAACTAAAAATATGATCATAAAAATATTGAAGCAATAATGAGATTATAACTATTATATTTATATCTTAATTTTTAAATATTTATTTATTATACAAAAATATTAGAATATAAATATTAAGACAAAAAATTGTTTTTATAGATTTTTAAATTGTGCTAAAAAATCATACATTGTTTAAATTTGTTATTTTAAATGAAAAAAATAAACACTAGAAAAATTATTCTTCAATACAAGATTCTTATAAATACTAAAATATTTGATTATTTGAGTTACTAAAATTAAAATATACATAATTTTTTTAACTTATAATCTTATTTCACATAAAATTTAAATAAAATATAATTATCAAAAAATATTATTTTATAAGTTATTGTAAATTTATTTTTATTAATATGAGAATTTTGTCTGATATTTTTAAATCAAAAAGAAAATAAATATTTACTACTTTCAAAAAACAAAGATTATAGCAAAATTTATCAAGCTTATTATGAAATGTTATAAGACCTTAGATTAAATATAGAAAATATTTTTTTAAGGCTTTACTTATATCCTAGCCTTCTTTTATAGAGGTTTATTATTTAAAAATTATATTCCATAAAATCTTCAAGGTTTAGATTAGAGGTTCTAAAGATATACATCACTTGAAGAAAAATAAAAAATTATATTCTACACAAGAAAAATTATTTATATTACTATAAATTATAAAATTATATTATGACGCCTTTTTAATTTAATTTAAGGTAGGTGTATCTAATAAAGATATAAATTTATGAAAATTTATTAAAATATAATTTATGTTAATATAATAAATAATAAAGAAAGAAGATCTAAGTTGCAAGTAAATTAAAGTATTGGTGTTTTGCAAATAAAATAAAGGTAATGAGGTCTTTTAAGTTGTAAAAATTATTTTATGTTCTATTATTTTGTACTGCAATAAAAAACTATTTCAATCAAATTTTTTTATTTAAAAAATCAAATCAAATAAGTAGGTTTTAATTTACTCTATTGTCTTCAATTTGGTGTTTACATTTAATATTGATTTTAATTCTATAATTTATTATTATATTCTATTATATTAAATAAAGGTTGAATAAATATTTATTAAAGATTGATTAAAGATTGATTAAAGATCCTTAATATTATCTTCTACTAAAAATATATTTTTAAAAAATTTAAATATGCATGTTTTAATACTCTCTAATTTAATTGAAAAACTATAAATTTTTATCTTTTCTTAGTTATTTAAGTATAAAATTATTTGATTATTTTTACATTTAAAAATATCATATTATTTGATTTTTTTAACTAAAAAATTAATTAAAAACATATCTTTAAAACTTAAGGTGCTATTATTTTATATAAAAATTTAGTAATTATTTTGAAGATATTTTTTAAATATATATAGGTAAATTTACATTGTCAAGATAGAAATCTTCTAAAAATCAACTATTTTTGTTGTTAGATATGCACAATTAGGTATTTAATCCAAAATTCGTTTTTTTAAATTATTGTAAGTTATAATAATATAATTAAAAGATTTTATGTTGTAATGATATGAATCATTATTTTTTAAAGATTTAGATCTTTTAAATCTATAAATTTTTGTTATGATTAATATAATAAGATAGGAAAAATTAAATTTTGTAACTTATCTAATATATATTAAGTTAGAATAGTAAATTTTTGCAAAAAATATTAAATTTTTTTTAAAAAATATTAAATTAATCTTATATAATTAATCTTTTATCTTATTATTAATTTTATTTAAATTAAATATATCATAATAACATTTTTTTTTATTTTTTAAACTATATTAATTATTAGAACTTTATAATATCTATTATATAAGATAACTTTGGTATAACACAAAAATATAAAGAATCCTTTTAATTAGCTATAAAAAAGCAAATGCACAAAACTTAAGGAATGCAAAAGCATAGGAATATGAAATAGTTGATATTCTAAGGATTTCGAATAATTGGTTCTTTTTCTAAAAACTATCAATTGTATGAAGCATATTTTTTCTTACTTTTTTCTCTTTTTTAAATTTTCTTACTTAGGATAAATCTAAGGGTGAAGTTTAGTGTCATGGACATATATAATTATCTAAATAAAAATTATTAGATAGAAGATAAATGTAGGTAGATTTGATAATATCTTGTGAATTAGCTTCTTAGAAGCTTTATAGATACGATTTTGAATTTATATATATTTTTAATTGATTGATGGGTTGAAAACTTGGCCAACAAGTTAGCTACATGTTGTATATGTTGGCAACTTGTGGTACAAGTTGGCCATGTAGCTTATATGTAGAAATTTTTTTTTACTATTTAAACACCTATCTAAGGTTCTATAGAATATTTGCATATAGCTTTTAATTAGGTAGTGTATATGAAGACAATAGTAAAGCCTTCTTCACTCTTGTTAATATTTTTTGTTTTTAGTCTTATTTCAAGAATCTTTTGTCTTCTTGTCTATGATATTAGCCATTCTATTTTTATACTATACTACTTTTAAGTAAATATCTCTTCTTTTTGAGAGTCTTTTGTCTTCTTATAGAACTTATAAAGACTTATGATGTTTTATTTTGTTTTATTTTGTTGATTTTTAGTTTAGCCATAGAAAATTTAGAGGAGAACCTTTTTGTAAAAAATAAAGTTTTACAAGAGCGTAATCTATCTTAATTAGTGTAATTATTTCTCTTCTTTGATTTGTAGTTTTTATGGAAGGTCTTCTTTTATAAGACAAATTATTTCTTGCTATTTTCTTTTTGCTTCTTAGTATTTTTATAACACTATTAATAATTAAGTTTTTTATATAATCTTCTCAACTAATTCCTTTTTTGCTAATGAGTTGAATATTTTTTGCTTTGGAATTTATCAA